CTAAGATAGTTCTGTACATCCTTTTGGTAAATTAATTACTGATCTATTTTACCTCAATGGTTTTAGGTAGCTAAGCTTTTCAAAAACCAGGCCCATTCATATTTGCTTTCATACCCTATTATTTAAAAAAAAATCACATACATCATCTGTGAGTAATATAGCTAAAAGCTTATACATGGACAGTGCATTATAATTAGCAGACACTTTCTCATTTGATTCTAAAAACAATTTTATGAGATAGGTAAAATCAAGACTGTTTTAGATGATCTTCAAACATAAGTCAAAATATAATCACTGTTTTTTTAATTACCAATAATGTATACAGCAAAAATTCCTGATTCTTAACCCATCCCTTACTCCCAACATCAATATAGGAAGTTTCATTTCCTGCTTTATTCATCTCTTTATTTAATTTTTAAAAATAAATATTTATTTGAGAAAGAGAGGGAGCATGAGTGGGGGAAGGGGGAATGGGGGAGAGGGACAGAAGCAGACACCTTAATGAGTGCAGAGCCCAACATGGGGCTCAATCTTACGACACTGTGATCATGACCAGGACCAAAACCAAGAGTCAGACACTTAACTGACTGAACGACCCAGGTGTCCCCAACTATTTGTATTTTTAAAGAATGAATTATATCTATAATCAGGAACAAATATTTTTTAAAATTTTGTTAGAACTGAATTAGTTTCTAAGGGGATATCAGTTCTAAGGGGAAATTGAATCTATCATATAAATGAGTTTTTTCAGTACTAAAAATAAAATATCTATAGTACTGAGTAAAATATTATAATTGCCAGAAATATAATTAAGGATTCTCCGAACAAGTCTGGAGCTGAAAAAGGAATCAACTGTTATTATTCTATCCACCAATGTTAGAAGGGTAGCATAATCATGAAACTTGCCGAATGCTTTGAGGTTTTAAGTAGAAAACAGGCAAATCCCATTATTAAACAGCCAAATATATTTATATGCATTTATTAATAAAATAGTTGAGTATTAAAAAATAGTTGAGTATTAATATAATCTGCATTAAGGAGAAATAAAAAAATTGGAGAGCCAGAATATTTAAGGCACAAATGAATTCTCAGAAAAGGAGCAGAAACTTGGGTAAAAAAATTGATAAACCTCTCTGAGGTGAACCAGGGTGGTCAAATTTATTTCATAGTTAGATGTGGTTTGTCTACCAGATAGTGCCTAACCTCATTTCTTATATACCATCCCTGATCTTTAAGCTCTCACTTTCACTGCCTTTCTCTCATACCCAGGGATGGGGAAGAATAATTTATGTGGCTCAAGGATTTCACACCTTAATGTTTGCCCAAGTGCACAACTATGGTTGCCTCAAAATACCATCTATTCAAGAAACATGGACAATAGGAACAGTCCTTATTTTATGGATGAAGGAATTTTTATTTATCTCTACTACTTAATAGGTCATCTCTTGGCTGCAGATATTAACAGTACTATGTTTATGTGTGTGTATGCTTGGGTGTATTTTAAAACCAGATTTCAACAATCAGAGCTGACTGGATGACCTCATTTACCCATTCCCTGTTCACAAGTAAACTTACCCAAAATGATACTGGTAAGGAAATAATAGCTTATTAATCTGTTATTTTGCCAGGCTGTTTGGCAGTTCACATGTTTCTAATTACATTTTCATTGATTCTTGAGAAATAGCATTAAAGTTAACAAAGATTATATTTGAAACACTAAAGGCAAATACATAGTACAATTTTTAAAGAGTTTCCAAGGTTGATTTTCAGCATTTTTCTCACCTCTCCCCCATAAAAATTCCAAAGAAATTAAGGAGTCAATCCCATTGACAATTGCACCCAAAAGCATAAGATACCTAGGAATAAACCTAACCAAAGAGTAAAGGATCTATACCCTAAAAACTACAGAACACTTCTGAAAGAAATTGAGGAAGACACAAAGAGATGGAAAAATATTCCATGCTCATGGATTGGCAGAATTAATATTGTGAAAATGTCAATGTTACCCAGGGCAATTTACACGTTTAATGCAATCCCTATCAAAATACCATGGACTTTCTTCAGAGAGTTGGAACAAATTATTTTAAGATTTGTGTGGAATCAGAAAAGACCCCGAATAGCCAGGGGAATTTTAAAAAAGAAAACCATAGCTTGAGGCATCACAATGCCAGATTTCAGGTTGTACTACAAAGCTGTGGTCATCAAGACAGTGTGGTACTGGCACAAAAAGAGACACATAGGTCAATGGAACAGAATAGAGAATCCAGAAGTGGACCCTCAACTTTATGGTCAACTAATATTCGACAAAGGAGGACAGACTATCCACTTGAAGAAAGACAGTCTCTTCAATAAATGGTGCTGGGAAAATTGGACATCCACATGCAGAAGAATGAAACTAGAACATTCTCTTTCACCATACACAAAGATAAACTCAAAATGGATGAAAGATTCCATCAAAATCCTAGAGGAGAACACAGGCAACAAACACCCTTTTTGAATTTGGCCACAGTAACTTCTTGCAAGATTCATCCATGAAAGCAAGAGAAACAAAAGCAAAAATGAACTCTTGGGACTTCATCAAGATAAGAAGCTTTTGCACAGCAAAGGATACAGTCAACAAAACTCAAAGACAACCTACAGAATGGGAGAAGATATTTGCAAATGATGTATCAGATAAAGAGCTAGTTTCCAAGATCTATAAAGAACTTATTCAACTCAACACCAAAGAAACAAACAATCCAATCATGAAATGGGCAAAAGACATGAACAGAAATCTCACAGAGGAAGACATAGACATGACCAACAAGCTCATGAGAAAATGCTCTGCATCACTTGCCATCAGGGAAATCCAAATCAAAACCACAATGAGATACCACCTCACACCAATGAGAATGGGGAAGATTAACAAGGCAGGAAACCACAAATGTTGGAAAGGATGTGGAGAAAGGGGAACCCTCCTGCACTGTTGGTGTGAATGTGAAATGGTGCAGCCACTCTAGAAAACTGTGTGGAGGTTCCTTAAAGTGTTAAAAATAGACCTGCCCTACGACCCAGCAATTGCACTGTTGGGGATTTACCCCGAAGATTCAGATGCAATGAAACGCCGGGACACCTGCACCCCAATGTTTCTAGCAGCCATGTCCACAATAGCCAAACTGTGGAAGGAGCCTCGGTGTCCATCGAAAGATGAATGGATAAAGAAGATGTGGTTTATGTATACAATGGAATATTACTCAGCCATTAGAAACGACAAATACCCACCATTTGCTTCAACGTGGATGGAACTGGAGGGTATTATGCTGAGTGAAATAAGTCAATCGGAGAAGGACAAACATTATATGTTCTCATTCATTTGGGGAATTTAAAAAATAGTGAAAGGGAATAAAGAGGAAAGGAGAAAAAATGAGTGGGAACTATCGGAAAGGGAGACAGAACATGAAAGACTCCTAACTCTGGGAAACGAACTAGGGGTGGTAGAAGGGGAGGTGGGTGTGGGGTGGGGGTGACTGGGTGACGGGCACTCAGGTGAACACTTGACAGGATGAGCACTGGGTGTTATTCTATATGTTGGCAAATTGAACACCAATAAAAAATAAATTTGTAAAAAAATCCAAAGATTCTTTTTAAAGTCATTTACGAAGCATCAGTTCAAAACTGCTTTTGATTTTCCACCTAGAAGATTTATTAGATGGCCAGATACAGAACACAATTTTAAAATTTATATAGCAAAAAAAATGCAGTAAGCAAGAGCTTAGTCTCAAAAATGAGTTGCTTTATATTAAAATCCTAGATCCATCATTTGCTAGTTGTTTAATTTTGGGAAATGTGTCTCTCTGTGTCTGTGCCTTAGTTCCTTACCTATACACCCTCATAAAGTTGTGAAGATGACAGGTAATCCATGCAAAATTTCTCATACAGTACCTGGTCATAGTAAGTTACCAGTAAATCACTACTTTTTGTTCACGTAGCGGATAAAAGGTTGGGTAGCCAGCTCAATGATATTCTCCTCCTCTCTAAGATGGTGACAATGTGCTAGGTTCTATGGTGTATATTCACACTAGGAAGATACCCCTTTTCTGAAGATACACTGGGTGAGTATTCTCTAGTTCAGTGATGCTGAAGTATACTGCAAGGCAAAATTTGGTGAGTAAGTAGGCATTATGATTATAGTTTCAGACTGCAATAAATATAAGTGCTGAGAATGTTTAAATCTCATTTCATAAAGTAAGGCACCTCTTAGGACTCGCGGCTCCCTTAACTAGATATTAAAAAAGAAATCGAACTCAGTATTTCCTAGGGTACACATAAAGTCAGGGTACATTCCTTTGTAAAAATGCAAAACAATAAATATAAATGCTGAAATGCAAAGCATTTGTGGAATGGTAAGATCTTTCTTGACCGATCTCCCATTTATAGATACAATTAAATCATTTAGACAACTCTACTTCAATATATGTTAGAAAGCCATAGGAGGTCTGGAGCAAGATATACAGGTCCATAAATTAGAGTTGCTAGACAGAGACCCCATAGCAATCTTCCTTAAATGAAATTACCAGCTGGGTTGTGCAAAGAATGCAAATTTATCTTTGAAAATTAGTGTTTCCCTAGGCTAATACCTTGTCTTTTGTTCTGGAACTCTGGAATGATAATACCCATGCCTATAATTCTCTTTGCTAAGTTTAAGAACCATGGGAAGGTCACTTTCATGTGATGTTTGTGACTTTTTTTCTCTAGGAAGTTTAGGCATGAGCGTGTCTTTGTCTGCCTATTTACAGTTAAATTAATTTCCAAGCCTGTGGACTTGGAAGATCTTGTTTCATCCCTAAAATTCTTCATTTCTGTTATTTCCAGACTCTCTTACGTACTTGAATGCAGCCTTATATCTTTGTGGCAAAGCAGGGCCTTTCCTGGCAGGTAATCCTGAGGGGCGTGTCAGTACCATTTCCTGGAGCAATCTTACAGGGTGGTTCTGTTTTTTATTTGCGCTCAAATAACTTTGCTCCCTCCTCTGCAGCTGCCAGACCAGTTCCTGCTGCTGCTCAGGTAACTCTAACCTCTCCTGGGCACCACTATAGGCAGAGGGGGTTGATAAATGACTTCTACGTGTGCCTGCTTGCCTTCCTTCTTACCCTTATTCACGAGCATGCTCTCTCTCTCTCTCTCTCTCTCTCTATTTGTTCCATAGGGAGAGCGTCTGGGAAGTACCTTGCTGACCACTAAGAACATCATGAGCTCAAGCTATTGGAGTGAGATGAGCAGCAGCAGCTGTGGGACTCCACAGCCCCCAGAGGTGCTGCAGTACCAGCCTCAGCATTACCACTGCTACCATCAGTCAAGCCAAACCCAGAACCCTCCGGAAAAAAATGTAGTGTATGAGAGAGTGAGGACCTTCAGTGGGCCAATGAACAAGGTGGTTCAGGCCTTGAACCCCATCACCTCACAGGAAGTGCTCTCTCCTATTAAAACTGTCTCTTCCCACCAAAATTTGGTTTGGAGCAACCATTCTCAGGTACCATAAAGATAACTATGCCAGATTTGTAGAGAGTACCTCATTTCTTTTCTTTCTGCTTTTTCTACTTCTCTGCCTATTCTATAGGATGTTATCTTTTGGTGGACTGCAGCTATATAAGCAATATACGGTCATCCAAATTCCTTCTCTTGTTGTTTTTTCATTTACTAGTGCCTGTGGTTGTTTAACAGCTCCAATGAGTTTCATAATCTAACTAGAGCATAGGATGACTCATTTTTTTGTTGGATTTGATTGAAGTTTCGGAACCGGGGTATTCTTTTGCCCCTGCTGTAAAGCAATCCTCAACTTAAATACAGTATTTTTTGTAGAATAAGTTCACATTGATTCACTTTATTTCAGAAGTAAACAGATTTTTATATTAAATATGGCAGTTCAGAGACAATGGCTTATATGGAGTGAAAAGCAGTTATTTGTGTTCAGCAAATAGTATGCTGCTCCTGGATAAGTGACATGAACAAATATCTGTACAGATTGTCATATGTGTTTCATCTTCTGAAAATGACACACTGGTGTCAGCCAAAGTGAATAATATATGAATATTGATAAGAGGATTGAAAAAGTGGATATAGGATTCAAGAAGGCCAGATATAAGTAATTGTTATACAAAAACTTTAAAAAGCAGAACTCTAAGACACCTTTTAAAATAAAATAATTTTTTAATAAAATAAATTTGCCTTTAAAGGGGTTATTTTAGCATCAGTATATGTGCTAATAATCTTGCCAATGAATGTAAAGGAACACTGCAAGGCTATATAAAATTAAAAGCTCTGTTGTGTTTTCATTCTTTGAATACCCTTACACTAAATTTGCATGACTTTAAGCTTTCTGGAAACATCTGTCCAAACTAAAATTGTTTTCAAGATAAAAATTTATACTGTAAAAATTCAAAAAGCAATAATTGGAATAATATTATCTGATGTTATTTTATTTTACTGATCTAGAATAATACAAGTTATTTTCCCCAAAGCCACAATTTATGGTAGGATATGAAGCAATATTTCTAAAGTATATGTTAAAACTCTTCAAAATATTTTTTAAAGATATAGATAACACAACTACAAAGGCCACAATTTTACTGGTATTTAATGCTTAGCTTAATTTGAGGGAAAAATATGAAGAAAAAATCTAGGATTTACTGTCAGTAATTTCCTAGTTGAAAAAAACTCCACCTGTATTGAAGTCAAAAGGAAGAAAAAAATATGAAGTTAAAAAATACTACTTTGTATAACTGATAATAATGTGAATGAACATGCCAATATTTAGCATTAGGATGTTAATGAACAACATAGTAGGTGTCATGTATGTTCCTTATTAGCCCTAAAACAATACAAAAACAAGTTACCATTTATTATAGAAATGCTAAAATCACCCTATCTGGCATAGTTATTTAAAAACAATAATTTCTTTTCTTGTCAACTTACTAGTAAAGATAGATAAAAACTTAACAGCAAAAATTTAGCAAATCATAAATACTGACTACATATTAACTTTTAGGATCACTTTATTGTATATTCCTTAGTTCAACTTTCATTTTTAATAATCTCAGGACCAAGCTGTTTGAGCTTTTTTACAGGACTTATCATCTCTTTACCTGATAATTACTAAAGAGATTCTTATAAGACTATCTCCATCCTGAAACACATTTCCCTTTAGAGGAGTTTATAAAGAAACCTAGGGACACAAAATATTGCCACAAAAACTGGGATAAGAGATTGGAATGGGGTGTTCTGAAGTCTGAAGTTATTTATAATTGAAACGAAAGAAAACTAAGGGTGTGTAAGGATGAGGTAGGTGAAATTCTGGATATGTAGTAAAGGACAATTTAAAGCATTTAATTTACAATTTTAATTTAGGGACGCTGGGTGGCTCAGTGGTTGAGCGTCTGCTTTTGGCTCAGGTTGTGATCCCAGAGTCCCAGAATTGGGTCCTTCATCAGACTTCCTGCAAGGAGCCTGCTTCTCCCTTTGCCTATGTCACTGCCTCTCTGTGTGTGTGTGTGTGTGTGTGTGTGTCTCATGAATAAATAAATAAGATCTTTACAAAATAAAATAACATTTTAATTTAATTTATTAAAAATTTATACAAATTTAATTTATTAAAAAGGAAAGTTGAATTAAGGAGTATACAATAAAGTGATCCTAAAACTTGTTCTATAGTCAATATTTATAATTTGTTAAATTCCTGCTGTAAAATTTTTATTTCTCTTTAATAGCAAATTGACAAAAGAGATTAATGTTTTTAAATGTTTAATTTAAGGACATTCCCTTAGTGAAATAAGAAGAAAATTTGACTATAAAATTTCAAACTGAGTTAGATATCAAAGGGTATTTACGAGTCTACTAAAAGATAATTTGGCAAGAAAGCTTTTTGATAGCTGTCACAAATAATGTGATGAAGAAATTCTATTTTATTTTTCTTTCTCCCTGTTTTTTGGCAGGATGACATTGTGTAAAGTAGAACCTAGATTTTGAAATTAATCTGAAATTAATTAATGCTAATGTAATGGGTAAGATGTGGCAGCAGCTTTATAACATACAATGCCAAACAAAAGCAAACAATACATATTACTCAAAATCCTTTTTTGTTTGTTTCATGTTTTAATAAAAGTCTCTCTTTAATATGTCATATTTTATTTTATTTTATTTTATATGTCATGTTTTAGAGACATTTTGAGTTGGTATGTAGCAACTATTCTGATGCTAGAGTTTGTGATTCTGGCAGGTAGGAGAATGTGTATTATAATCAATTGCTGGTCATCACAAATTCAGTTAAATTTTTACTTTATCTTTCAACATTTAGGTGTTTTTAGATAATTAAGATAATTTATAAGATTTAAAAAATATATATAATTGGTTTGCCTAGCTGGGTCACTCAGTAAAGCATGTGACTCTGGTTCTCAAGATTGTTAGTTAAAGCCCCATGATAGATGTGGAGCCTACATTAAAATAAATAAAATAAAATAAAATAATTATATATAATTATATACAATAATTATATTTATATAATAAAATATGTTCCCACTGAAAAACTGAAATTGATGTCACTCTTCTTTGTTTCCCTCCAGATCTTAATTTGAGCTTATGTAGTAGATATTTTAGATTTAATTAAATGCTCTTTACAACACTTTAGTATTTTCTATTTGGCTTTTTAGTACTTGTTTTTCCTCTATCACCTTCTGGTGCAATAAAATGGTGTTTATAAGTATAAACATATTTTAAATTTCTCTAGATATACTGTTGCTTTGTTTCCTGTCTATAATTATTAATATATTTTATTATTCTCTCAGTTATTTTTTATCTGGTTGATAGAGCAGAGAAAATTGAATGCAGAAAACAGACAATGTAGAAATTGTCTAAATTGATTCTAGAATTAAAATTACCAGGTTGATCCATATGGACAGGTAAAATCAAACACGGGGTAATCAAGGGCACAGATGCATTTTAAAACTGAATGCAGTCTTGTGAATACATGAAGTTCTAGAAACTACACAAAACAAAATAAAACAACTTACAGCTCAATCTTTTAAAAAGCTTAAGTATTAACCTACCATCGTTAACTCAAAATGAAATACTGCCTTAATGAATGCCACTGATGCAAAATTACTCAACATATATATTTCCCATCCACTAATCTAGCTTTTCATGAAGTTCAAGATATTTTCCATGTATGCAAAAGGAACTCTGTTGTGTGAGAGAGAATTGAATTAAAATAAAATATTTTTAATAACTGTGATTCATTGAATTGAATATTTATTAATTGCCTATTATGGGGGAATCTCTGTGATTATTTGGATGACTACTGTTTGCTTATCTCAGGGAGAGTCCACATTGAAGATAGATACACAGAATTTGGTCTGTAAGTGTTCCATATATCTCTATTTCATTTTTAAATATTATTCTGTGCTTTGGCTGTCAATATTTTATTGAATAAAACAAGTTTTAGTCAAAGAAGGGACCTCTTATTTTTTTTTTAGAAGGGACCTCTTAATGTGTGTCTTCTTAATATGGGTTACCATTATTTTGAAGTTAAAACTTGCAACCAAATTTAACTCTAGAAATTGGTCAGGGAAAATGTGTTTTTATGTGTGTTATTGATAGCTTCTGCTATCAATAATTACTCAGTTTGGGTTTATCTTTGTTCACATGATTTTTCCCCCTTTTCTTTGGTGACAAAAATTGTGGGTAGGTCCCTTGCTGTGCCAGGATTTCTATACAGTATCAGAAAAATTTCCTGTTCTGTGGGGAGGGGTGTGTTGCTTTGATAAATTGTTGTTCAAGGGTGTGTTCACTAAAGTGAATGATTGTTCAGGGAAGTAGGTTGTAGAGAAAGGAATGAGGTCATAAGATAAAGAGGCCCATGTTTTCAGCTTTGGTCAGCCCTTTTATACTTGCAGTTACATAAAGATGTAGAAATTGTAAGTCCAACTAATTGCTGGGTAAAAATGTCCATGCCAACTGTTTCTTGTTTAAGGGAGATGTGATAGATTGCTGGGCCTGTTTTCCGGCCATGAAACCACAAGCTGTCCTTGTGTGTGTTTGTGGCAAGGTGGGGAAGGGAAGCGAGGCAAGGCAAGGGGAAAGGTGAACTGGTCCTTAAACTGCTGTGATCCAAATTTCTTTTCGCGGTAATGGCAATTCATGGTAAAACAACTGGGATATTTGCCATGCTCTTAAATACCATTTATTTTTATTTAAATTTTTTTATTTGACTGTAGCTGAAAAACAATGTTACATTAGTTTCAGGTGTACTACATAGTAATTCAACTTCTGTATATATTATGCTATGCTCACCACAAGTGTAACTACAATCTGCCCCCATGCAACATTAATATAATATCATTGACTGTAGCTCTGACCTATGCTTTTTATTCCAGTGACTTATTCATTCCATATATAGGGAAGCCTATATTTCCCACTCTCCTTCATCCATTTTCTCCATACCCTCACACCCCTTCCTTCTGGCAATCATCAGTTTGTTCTTTGTATTTATAGTCTGATTCTGCTTTTTGTTTATTAAACCCCATTTAAAAGTGAAAACCTTTATAAACAAGTATATTTGAGCTTACTTTTTTTTTACATCAGCAGCCATGGTGTTAGCATCCTTTTTTTGATTTCTAATGGAGCATATATATGTCTAGTTTTTAAAGACAAAAAGCATGTACTTCAAAGAGACTGTATACTTTATTTTTTCTCCTAATTTCCTTCAGGAAAAGGAGAGAAAAAATGAATCTCTTAAATGAGGGATTTCCTTTGGAGGAAAAAGATGAGGGGAAGAAGTTTTATTTCTAGCACAGTCTATTGCTTTCTTAACATGAGAACAGAATTACAGGTTTTATCCTAAATCAAGGAAGTGTTTGTTTCATCTAAAAAAAAGATTGTAATTTATATGTTTCTTCCTGTACAAAGTTCAGAACAACATTGAACAATAACCTGAGGCAGGTTTTTAACCATGTTATTGGCTTTGAAAGGTTTTCACAAAAGCATCTTTTAAACTATTCAGGGAATGTATTCAAATGGCAGTTTGCCTTGGCAAATTCTGTCAGCATAAATATCAGATGGTATTTAAAGATATTGCCTCTTTTGAAACTGTGGTCCTGAAGTGTTCATAAGTCACTACTATTACTTTCAGTGATTCTCATAGTCATTTTTTTATTTAAATTTATTTTTTATTGGTGTTCAATTTGCCAACATATAGAATAACACCCAGTGCTCATTCCATCAAGTGTCCACCTCAGTGCCCGTCACCCAGTCACCCCCACCCCCCGCCCACCTCCCCTTCCCCCTCCCCTTCCACCACCCCTAGTTCATTTCCCAGAGTTAGGAGTCTTTCATGTTCTGTCTCCCTTTCTGATAGTTCCCACTCGTTTTTTCTCCTTTCCCCTTTATTCCCTTTCACTATTTTTTATATTCCCCAGATGAATGAGACCATATAATGTTTGTCCTTCTCCGATTGACTTATTTCATTCAGCATAATAGTCATTTTAAGACCCCTTCTTGGAACACTGTATAATTTATTAGCTTTTCAAAGTTTTAGATTTCAAATTGCACAGTATGAGCATTCCATGTTCATTTCAACAAGCTTCCAAATATTTAAAGAACAAAGGCCTATACTGTGTGTGTAATCTCTATTCTTATTCCCAGCAATCTTGCCATCTCTCCTGTATTTATTGCACCAAAGTTTTGAACTCTTTGATAAGAGTTATCAATAAGAAATGATAGCTAGTAGGTGTTGGCTAAAGAGGTTCATATTTTTCAGAGTATAAAGATGAGTTGCAGAAAACATTGTGTGGAGAAAACGCCCATACAAATGAATCTATGTGGAATGACTCATAGAGGGCTGTAAATAATAAAGGGGCAGAACATATTCATATGTTACCTTAATATATTAGGCTTGCAGTGGTAGTCCTAACATAATACTGAAAGGGAGGATGAAAATGTTACAAGCTGAACCAAAAGAGAAACAAAAGAAAAACCACAGCATGCAAAATATTTGGCAATTTGTTTTAAGAACAGCAACATTTGTTTTAAGAACAGTACTGTAGGTGTACTACAGTATAGATATACTTCCATATGTATTTACCAGTGTTTCCCTTGTTAAGTCTGTGATTCTGATTTTCAATAGCCTCTTTGTTCCAAAAAAAAAAGAAATATTTTTATTGTCGTGGGAATATATCCTGGAGTTTTGTCAATTGGTTGTAAATTATTGTAATATATGAAGAGATTGAGTAACACTATCAACTCTTTGCACACTAATAAAACTACACAATTTTCTGATTTGGGAAAAAATGTAAAGGTCAGCATAATCAGTAAAGTGACTTATCTAATAATTATTAAAAACCATACTCTTACTTTTATAGACCATTTTCTTTTAAAATGAGAGCCTATTCTGGAATTTAACTAGAAGCAGATCAGACAAACCATAATTAAAAGTCAGAAGGAATATCAGGGCAGTAGTCTTTTTTTTAAGTTTTTATTATAATTCTGGTTAGTGGGCACTTGGATGGCTCAATGGTTGAGTGTCTGCATTTGGCTCAGGTCATGATCCTGGGGTCCTGGGATGGAGTTCCACATCAAGCTCCTGGCAGGGAGCCTGCTTCTCCCTCTACCTATGTCTCTGCCTCTCTCTGTGTGTCTCTCATGAATAAATAAAAAAAAAAACTTTAAATCCGGTTAGTTAATATACAGTGTAATATTAGTTTCAGGTGCACAATTTAGTGATTCAACAATTCCATACATCACCCAGTACTCATCACAAGTAACCGCCTTATTCCCCATCACCTATTTCACCCATCCCCTCTGGTAACCAACTGTTTGTTCTCTATAGTTAAGAGCCTGTTTCTTGGTTTGCCTCTCTTTCTCTCTTTATTCCTCTTCGCTCATTTGTTTTGTTTCTTAAAATCCACATATGAGTGAAATCATATGGTATTTGCCTTTCTCTGACTTATTTCACTTAGCATTATATTTTTGTATTCTTTGGATAAATATTCAATAGTGCAATTGATTGTTGAATTATTGGGCAGTTTCTACTTTTAACTATTTGAGGAAGCTCCATACTGTTTTCCAGAGTAGTAAAGGAGTACCAGTTTGCATTACCACCAATAAGCGCAAGAGGGTTTCTCTTTCTCCATATTGTCGCCAAAACGTCATTTTGTGTGTGTGTGTGTGTGTGTGTGTGTGTGTGTGGTTTTTTTTAGCCATTCTGACAGGTGTGAGGAAATATTTCATTGTAGTTTTGATTTGCATTTTCAGGACAGTAGACTTAAATAAGTTTTATTTTTTTAATAAATTTATTTTTTATTTGTGTTAAATTTGTCAACATGCAGAATAACACCCAGTGCTCATCCCGTTAAGTGCCCACCTCATTGCCCGCCACCCAGCCACCCCCCCCCACCTCCCCTTCCACCACCCTTACTTCGTTTCCCAGAGTTAGGAGTCATTCAGGTTCTGTCTCCCTTTCTGATAGTTCCTATCCATTTCTTCTCCCTTCCCCTCTATTTCCTTTCACTATTATTTATATTCCCCAAATGAATAAGACCATATAATGTTTGTCCTTCTCCGATTGACTCATTTCACTCAGCATAATACCCTCCAGTTCCATCCACGTTGAAGCAAATGGTGGTTATTTGTCATTTCTAATGGCTGAGTAATATTCCATTGTATACATAGACCACATCTTCTTTATCCATTCATCTTTCGATGGACACCGAAGCTCCTACCACAGTTTGACTATTGTGGATGATTTAAGTGTTCTTGCCCAGATTACAGAAGTTTTCAGCTATTGTTTTCTGAAATAAATTTTCTCCTCTCTTATCCCTCCCTTCTGTGACTGCAAAATATGAATGCTATTACATTTGATGGACTCACTGAGTTCCCTAAATCTATTATCGTGTTCTCATAAATCTTCCCTGCGGAGCCTCCGCCCAAGCCCCTCTGAGCTGCTCCCGGGTCGAGCCGGGTGCTCACTGCAGCCCTTTAGGGAGCTCAGCCGCGGGGTGTGGCGTGCTCTCCCCGGGGCGCAGGTCCCTGTTAGTGTCCCTGGGAGCCCGAGGGCATTCCCACCCTCCTGGGGTCTTGCTCTAACTCCCTGCGAGCCCCTTTCCGCCCGGGAAGATTGGTGCAGCTCCTGCTTCTCCGAGACTGCGCTTTCTTGTCCTGGGGATACTCGCCCTGGCCTTAGCCCTTCTCCTCGCAGGGCCCCTCCCCCTTGGATGCCTTTTGTTTCTTTATTTCTTTTTCCCCCCGTCTTCCTACCTTGATAGAAGTGTGAACTCTTCTCACTGTAGCATTTCAGCTGTTCTCTCTTTAAATCTCAGGCGGAATTCGTGGATTTTCAGGATGATTTGAAGGTTATCTAGGTAATTTGTTGGGGACAGGTGACTTGGGGCCCCTACTCTTCAGCCATCTTGCCCTGCCCTCTTAACTAAGTTTTCAAAGGTAGTTTCCTACCATGGCTAGAAAATCTTTGCATTGTATGTTTTTGTGTTGACAAATTTTGCATTTTGCTAAATTACAGACATATATCAACATTGGAGTGTGTGTTAGCAGATATTTCCAAAAGAAAAGAAGGATATAAACAATTAGTACAAGAATAAATAAGGTGTTATCAAAATATTCTAGAAATTATTTTATCATTAGTTTTACTAGCAAAGCTAAGAAAGGAATACAGTAATGTGCTCTTTGGATATCATCTAATAAAACACTAAAGTTATTACTCCTGAAAAAGTAGTTTATTATTAAATTAAGGGAAATAATACCTAAAGAAGGTAGTCCATTCAAATGACACTGTTTAGTAACCATTTCTGACACCCCTTTTTTTCTCAACAGGAACTCCATTCTCCAACTCTGAAAATATCTACTTGTTCCCCAAGCAGTCTACATATAACCCCAAATACTGAACAGGTAAAAGAAGTTATGGATTAGACTAGATTCTTTTCTTTTTATGTAAGCCTTGCTCATATGTTTAAGTAATCTTTAAGTCCTCCTAAGGCTCTACACATTTACAAAATGTCAGGAATACAAAACCAGAAAGGAGATTCTCACATATGATGATCAGCTCAGCCCATTAAAAGAATGTGAAACAAGTGCCGAAACAAATGCTGTGAATTGAGATTTTTCAGTTTCATTGTCTATTCAATCTGATTGCTTTCAGTTTGAGTGTAGTTTATTTAAGGGATTCAAGGATCTCCTAATAATTATATATATTTTATGAGTCCTTGATTTTAGCACAAATGAAGTACCTAGATCTTGGAATGATTAAGTACCTGACTTTGTTTTTTTTTTTTTAAGTACCTGACTTTGTGATAGCATTGTAAGTTTACATTCAGAAAGAACATCTTATAGGGTCAGAACTAGCCCTTCTCAAAGGTACATGATCTGAAAGACATGCAAGGATCTAGTTCCCTTAGCCTTCACAACTTAATAATCTCACTTTTAAGATTACCCTCGAGTCTAGGCATTATATCTTCAAAAGGTACCTATAATAATAATTAAATACCATATTGACAAATATGTGTTTAATGAGCTAGTCACCATACATTAAAAAGTGAATCATAAGAAAATAAAAATTAAACATTATAAGTTTGTTACTACATAGGAGGAGAGTATAAAGGATATGGGATTTGGGGGCTAAGAAGGAGAAAGATGGTGCTCTAGGAAAGCAGGCCTGCCCAGATGAGGTGCCAGGGTATGAGCTTGGACAATAAGGGAACAAACAGACAAAAGTTGATCTCCAAACATTAGTACAGTAAGAAAAAGGTGAGATCATGCAAAACAAATAAAATTCTCAAAAGTTTGTCTACCACTTCCCAATTGGCCTAGCCTAGAGCTAAGTTGGTTAGAGTCATGCATTTATTTATTTATTCATTTATTCATTCATTTATTTATTTATAAATATTTCTTTATTATTTTAGAGAGACAGAGAGGAGGAGTGAGAAGGGGGCAGAGGGTGAGGAGGGAGAGAGAAAGAAGCAGACTCCTTGCTGAGCAAGGAGCCCTGTGCTGGGCTCCCAGAACCCTGAGATCATGACCTGAGCCAAAATTAAGAGTGAGTCACTTGAGCAACTGAGCTACCTAGGTGCCCCTAGAGTCATGCATGTATTTAGCAAACATTTGTTAAGTGCTCACTATGTATCAAATATTGTACAAAGATGTAATAGACCCAATTGCTATTCTCAAAAGCTCACAGACTAGCATGGGTCACATACACAACAAAACATAGAACAGTGGGATAAAGGCTGCAACAGAGATAGATATAGAGCCCTACAGGACCACCAAGACAGGATTGCCTCAGAAAAGTAAGTCCACTTAAATCACAGAGCTATTCACTGCATTCAGATCCAGGCCATAAATTGCATTAGCTGCTACTTTTCATAATGAAGGCTTTAAAATTGGGTTTACTGTGTTTTATTTCTGATAATGCAAATATGTTTATCGTAGAGAATTTTGGAACCATAAAAATTGTAGAGTAAAAGAAATAAAAATCACTCATGATCCCTTCTCTTACCCACAGATAGTATTATTAACATTTTGTTTTCTTTCATTCAACTAAATAATTTATATCATACCATATATGCTTATTCATATCTTCATTTATCACTTACCCTTATATGATATTATGAGCTTTTTTCATGTAAATTTGTATTTACTCAAAATCCTTATTTTAATAGCTACATATTTCAGCCTATGGATGATTAATCTTCCCCCTCTCCAGAGGAAAGTGCTCCTCTAACTACACCTTCATCGGTATTATTTTTTTCTAATTAAAATACAGTATTCTGTTGTTATGTTTATTTGATTCTTAGCTTGGTTGAGTACTTCTTGCTGTCTATTAACCATTTGTTTTTCTTCTATTATAAATGTTCATGTTATTTGCTCATTTTTCTACTAGTAGGAATTTTTTTCTTATTGAGGTATAAAAACTCTATATTAACGATATTGATTCTTTTTCCATCAAAAGTTTACAAATGACTTTGTTCTAGTGTTTTGTCTCCCTTTTAATGTTATTTATGGCCTTCTCCCACCAACACCCTGAAGATTTAAATGTTTAAGTACACAAACACACACACACATACAAACACACATTTTTCTCTTTGTGTCTCCTTCTGTTTAAATAATTTTTTATTTCTTTTTTTTAAGATTTCGTGTATTTATTTATTCATGAGAGACACAAACACACACACACACACACAGAGTCAGAGACGTAGGCAGAGGGAGAAGCAGGCTCCCTGCAGGGCCCTGGGATCATGCCTGAGCCAAAGACAGGTGCTCAACCAGGCGTCCCAAAGAATTTTTTTCTTGAAGATTTTATTTATTTATTAATGAAAGAGAGAGAGGCAGAGACATAGGCAGAGTGAGAAGCAGGCTCCCTACTGGGACCCCAATGCAAGACTTGATCCTTGGACCCTGGGATCACTCCCTGAGCCAAAAAGTGGACACTCAGCCGCTGACCCACCCAGGTGTCCTTCCTTCCACTTTTTAAAATAGGAGATAACTAATAAATATTAAGCTATATTTTCTTCTAATACTGTGGGGCATTTACAACGTAATGAAGATTTTGAAACTCTCATCAAAATGCTTGGAATGTGTAATAAATTACCATGAAATGAGTATAATAGAAATAGTTAACAGGGCTAAACACATAAACACATGCATTAATATATGTTTCTAAGGCTGAAATTAACTAAAACCACAAATTCACATGTCATCATTTATGCAAATGACTTAAAATTTCACTCTGAAAATTGCTCCCTATTATTTTTAATGACTTCAAGGTCACTAAGCAACTATAATTATATGCAGCTTTTATCTTTCTTTACAGGAACTCCATTCTCCAACGGTGAAAGTCACTGCATGTCCACAGACTAATATTAAGAGATACATAGTACAAAATCCTGAACAGGTAAACTATATCACCCAAACTCTTATCCCAACCTATAATTCCTTAGAAGTTGATAGCTTAAATGAGAAGGGTGAGTCAATTACCCAATCACTAAAATCAGACTATTGGGAGTCTCCTCCAGTTATAAAGTTAATTTATAATCATTAGTATTAAAAAGTCATTTTTAAAATATTTTTTAAAGATTTAGTTTTTTATTTTATTTTTTTATTCATCAGTTGCATATAACACCCAGTGCTCATTATATCAATTGCCTTCCTTAATTCCCATCATCCAATTATCCCTTCCTCCAATCCACTTCCCCTCCAGCAATCCTCAGTTTGTTTCCTATAGTTAAGAATCTCTTATGGTTTGCCTCTCTCTGTTTTAATCTTATTTTATTTTTCCTTCCCTTCCCCCATATTCATCCATTTTGTTTTTTTAAATTCCACATATGAGTAAAGTCATATGGTATTTATCTTTCTCTGACTGACTTATTTTGCTTAGCATAATACACTCTAGCTCTACTCACATCATTCTTTTTGATGACTAATATTTCATTGTATATATGTACCACATCTTCTTTATCTATTCATCTGTTGATGGACATTTGGGTTCTTTCCATGGTTTGGCTATTGTGAACATTGCTGCTATAAACTTTGGAGTGCTTGTGCCCCTTCAAATCACTATTTTAAAAAGTCATTTTTAATTTCAGACAACTATGTGTCCATATTTTCTGATTTAGTGAGGCAACAGTTCCAAGCAGCATGGAAATTCTTGAATTATAAAATCTTTCTACATCTATAGCCCCACCTTTGTACTACAAAGGATTTTGTACCCTTCGAGCCAAGGGGAAAAAGGACAAAGTTCTTTCTTTAAAAAAAGATTTTATTCATTTTTTTTCAGATTTTATTCATTTATTCATGAGAGACACAGAGATAGAGAGAGGCAGAGACATAGGCAGAGGGAGAAGCAGGCTCCCTGCAGGGCGCCCGATGTAGGACTCGACTCTGGGACTCCTGGATCACACACCCTGAGCTGAAGGCAGATGCTCAACTGCTGAATCTCCCAGGCATCCCAAAAAGGACAAGGTTCTTTCACTGACTTCACATAGCAGCTATCAGCTGTTACATCAGGGACTGGAATCCTTAATTTATTTAGATTTTCCATTGAGATATGGGCTAGGAAGAAAAAAATGAAAAATGAAAAGTTCAAAACTGCCTCCATGCCTTTTTTTGCCTATGCTATGAACTTTGGTGCCTAGCAATGAGCTCTTTTGAAAATTATATTGAAGTTTTCTAAGATATAAAGCTTATATTTTACAAACTAGGATATTATTCTTTATTTCATTTTGAGGGAAAAATTAAGAAAAATTTTTCCCACAGTAAAAATCCTTCCTCAACACACACAAAACCATATATAGCCCTTCTTTAGCTGCAACAGGAGGTTCTTTGTGGTTATAGGGACAAAGTATCACAGATAGAAACTGTACCACAGATAATAATACAGCAATTCTTTGCTTTGATCTCTATTTCTCCACTATTGCAGGAAAGAATACTCCCCTCACTCACAAAATAAGATAATTATTTACCTCAGATGTGAAAGTGTGTGCATGTGTGAACATATGAGCATGCAAGCTCTTGTGGTGGGGGCATGATCATTTTGAACATTTGCTTCAGTTTTCACATATCTTTATAAGTATCAAAGGAGAATGTGATTATATTAAATGAGTTGCTTGTGCCTTCTTTCAGAATTAAATGTTTAAACAACAGACCTGAAAAGTGTGTTGGGGAAGGGAGACATAAAGAAAGCTTGGCAAATGAAAATGTGCATTTTTCTATAACATGACCACTTTCCCCTTCTTCCTCCCTCTTTCTCCTTTTCCTTTCCTTCATACAGAAACTGGGGAATATATATATATTTGGATGCATATTACACTTGATATTCTTAGCTTTCAAAAAATTAGTTCTAGATAGCACTATTTTTTCATAATGTGAGAATTGCTGTGTTTACCTAGGATATATTCACAGAGTAAGTTTTTAGGTAAATTCTTATTCTTAAGTTAATGAAGAAAGGGAAGAATTCATGTTTATTGGACATATGCTCCGTGGTAGAAGATCTACATATTTTATCCTATTTAATCCTAAAAAGGTGAGAAAAAGAAGCCCAAAGAAGTTCAGTTATTTACTCATTGAATATTTATAAATTGTCTGCTATGTACTAAAAATTGCTCCAAGAATTGGGTATAGAGCAGCGAACAAAAACAAAGTCCCAATCTTCTTGAAACTTGAGCTCTTAACTAGACCCGAACCATTCAGTTACAAATAAAAGAATGGGAACAGAAATTGAATAATGATGATCTGGAAAAGATACATTTGCAAATTAAGATGTAGATGAATTAGGATCCAGATACTCATCTACATAACAACTTCCCTCCCATCATCCCAGTGTAATAAAAGGCAGAGAAATTATTTTTTAATAATAAATTTATTTTTATTGGTGTTCAATTTGCCAACATACAGAATAACACCCAGCGCTGATCCCGTCAAGCGCCCCCCTCAGTGCCCGTCACCCATTCACCCCCACCCCCCGCCCTCCTCCCCTTCCACCACCCCTAGTTCGTTTCCCAGAGTTAGGAGTCTTTATGTCCTGTCTCCCTTTCAAGGCAGAGAAATTAGAGGTATGTATGGAAATACATAACATATTTGTACCACTGAGCCTGCCCATGTAAAGGCTTATTATATTGAATGTGTACAACTACCAAAAAGCAAATTGTTTCTCAAAGAAAACATCCAAAAGATGGTAATGATTATTTCAAAGCTTGTAACTCCCTATTGAGAAATAAAACAAATTTCAACCCCTATGCTTTGTAAACAGAAATAATCTAACTGGTTTTGCAGAGCAGCTTGAAAATCCTATTTTGATATATCTCCCATTTTATTTATCTTATGAATATGCCTTTTTGTTTGCTCTTTTAAATCCCCCTAGGAGAAGATTCTGACTTAATTACAATATTTATAATAAGCTGAGGCTCCTAAAAGGCAACTTTATCCTCTTTCATCTCCCAGCTTATCTAATCTTCACTTCTACTCCTTGTAATTAAATTGATCTCAATCTACTTCTCTTATGATGATTTCCTTCTACCTCTGTTCAACCTTCTTTTTTATTTTTGGTTGTTCATGATCTTCATTCTGCATTCATTGTCATTTTAGCCAAAGCATTCACGTATTCGGGTATATAAATAGACCTAGAAGTGAAGAAAATGTTTGTGTTCTATCAGTTGATAGAATCCAATTGATATTAATCAGTTTTATTAATTTTCTAGTTGTAGAGCTCCTGCTATGGGGAGGGCACTGTATAGCCTTCAAATAGGAGGATAGGAAACAAGACATGGTTGCCATACCAAAAGAGCTTATAGTTCCTATTGCAAGGGAAATAGGGTATGTGCACAAATAGCTATATAAAATATATAATGGGATGTAGGATAGCTGCCAGGAAAAAATTACAGATGAGGTCTTATTTTTATAATAAATTTATTTTTATTGGTGTTCAATTTACCAACATACAGAATAACACCCAGTGCTCATCCCAAGTGTCCCCCTCAGTGCCCGTCACCCATTCACCCCCACCCCCCGCCCTCCTCCCCTTCCACCACCCCTAGTTCGTTTCCCAGAGTTAGGAGTCTTCATGTTCTGTCTCCCTTTCTGATACTTCCCACACATTTCTTCTCCCTTCCCTTATATTCACTTTCACTATTATTTATATTTCCCAAATGAATGAGAACATATAATGTTTGTCCTTCTCCAATTGACTTACTTCACTCAGCATAATACCCTCCAGTTCCATCCACGTTGAAGCAAATGGTGGGTATTTGTCATTTCTAATGGCTGAGTAATATTCCATTGTATACATAAACCACATCTTCTTTATCCATTCATATTTCGATGGACACCAAGGCTCCTTCCACAGTTTGGCTATTGTGGACATTGCTGCTATAAATATCGGGGTGCAGGAGTCCTGGCGTATCATTGCATCTGTATCTTTGGGGTAAATCCCCAGCAGTGCAATTGCTGGGTCGTAGGGCAGGTCTATTTTTAATTTTTTTAATTTTTATTTATTAATGATAGTCACATAGAATGAGAGAGAGAGAGGCAGACACACAGGCAGAGGGAGAAGCAGGCTCCATGCACCGGGAGCCCGACGTGGGATTCAATCCCGGGTCTCCAGGATCGCGCCCTGGGCCAAAGGCAGGCGCCAAACCGCTGCGCCACCCAGGGATCCCGGCAGGTCTATTTTTAACTCTTTGAGGAACCTCCACACAGTTTTCCAGAGTGGCTGCACCAGTTCACATTCCCACCAAGAGTGTAAGAGGGTTCCCTTTTCTCCGCATCCTCTCCAACATTTGTGTTTTCCTGCCTTGTTAATTTTCCCCATTCTCACTGGTGTGAGGTGGTATCTCATTGGCAAGTGATGCAGAGCATTTTCTCATGTGCATGTTGGCCATGACTATGTCTTCCTCTGTGAGATTTCTCTTCATGTCTTTTGGCCATTTCATGATTGGATTGTTTGTTTCTTTGCTGTGGAGTTTAATAAGTTCTTTATAGATCTTGGAAACTAGTCCTTTATTTGATATGTCATTTGAAAATATCTTTTCCCATTCTGTAGGTTGTCTTTTAGTTTTGTTGACTGTATCCTTTGCTGTGCAAAAGCTTCTTATCTTGATGAAGTTCCAATAGTTCATTTTTGCTTTTGTTTCTTTTGCCTTCGTGGATGTATCTTGCAAGAAGTTACTGTGGCCGAGTTAAAAAAAGGGTGTTGCCTGTGTTCTCTAGGATTTTGATGGAATCTTATCTCACATTTAGATCTTTCATCCATTTTGAGTTTATCTTTGTGTATGGTGCAAGAGAGTGGTCTAGTTTCATTCTTCTGCATGTGGATGTCCAATTTTCCCAGCACCATTTATTGAAGAGACTGTCTTTCTTCCAGTGGATAGTCTTTCCTCCTTTATTGAGTATTAGTTGACC